CAGCGCTTCCGACCTTCTCGTGCAAGGCAGCGTAAGTCGCGAGCTCGTCAGCCGCGAGGGCCGCCGCGCCATTGGGATGCTGCTTCTGTCCCTGAGGTCCTGGAACCGCTGCCGCCGCGAGAGACTGTTACCGACCGCCGCCGCTGCCCCGCCCAATTCGCAACGCGCCGCCCCTGCTCCGCTCATCTGGAAATGAGCCGAGCGAGCCTGCGCCTCATGCCCGGCGAGAAGTGGGCGGGGCAGTCGTCGGGGACCCGCAACGTTTACATCATATGCACCAACGCCCGTTTTTCTCACAACCGCGCCGCTTGCAACGCCAGCGGCTTGGAGGAGGAGCGTTGTCATCGCAAACGCGAGGCGCTCGAGAAATGGCGGGCTGGGAACTGGACTCGGTCCTCCACGGATCACTGGAACCCGCCTTCGCCCCGTCAACTGAACCCGGCCTGGTCGATGTCCAGCGCGAGCGCCAGGAAACCCGCAATGTGCGCCCCTTGCCGCCGGCGCCGCCGCCTTCGCCGCGTCTCGCCATGGTTCTAACAAAAACGTGGTGGGAAATCTTGCCAGCAGGAGTTCACAAACGGAATTGAAGGGACGGGGTCCGCTGGCCAAAGAAACTGTGGAACACAAGCCAAGTTAGCCCGCAACAGCGCAGCCATTCTGAAGCCCGCTGTTGCAAACCCAAAAGCTGCCTGGGCCAGAGCGGCTGCGGAAGGAGGAGGAAGGGTCCCACCCGTCGGGGGCGGCATCCTGGTTGAACGCCTACTTGCGCAGGCCCTGCAACGGAGGTGCCCCGCGGATGATAATATTGCACACGGCCTTGACTGTGAGCTGGGCAAGAGAACTGGACGGAACTGGGTGGGCGTGCAGGGCTTGAAAACAAATCTTGACAGTTGGGAGCTATGATACATAATGGGAGAACTGCATCATCACCACGATGCACGAGGTGGAGAGGAAGGTGCTCAGAGGAGCATCGGCCAAAACTTCAAGCAAAACAGGACGGGCACGACGAAAAACGGCAACCGTGATGGGGCAGCGTACGTAACGCAAAAGGTCATCACCTCCAACGCATGCCCAGCCAACCTTCTGTACGGTTCGAGGCGCCCTGTTGGCACCGACGGGTCGTGCTCCAGAGCTGGAAGAAGTTGTTCAAAGGAGCGACGAACAACAGCCGAACCACCTCGCTAGCTTGCATGATGGCGAGGAGAGCGGACTGGATGTTGGTAGGAGACATCTGAAGGCCCCGCGCTTCAACATGGGAGCGTTTTGGTGGATGTCGGGAGCGATGAGGTTCTCAAGTTTCCTGTGGACGCATTTCTTGCTGAGTTCCTCGGGGAACCTGGCGATGTAGCTCGACCCTTGGATCTCCTGGAGGATGCATGCACACAGGGAGTCCTGTAAAAAGGGAGCAAAAAAGGGAGCATAAGCAATCATTCCCAGCAGGTCAACGCGAAGACGGGCGGTATGACCAAGAGTCCGAAGATCTCGAGCCTGGACCGCGAGACCTATCTCCTACGGAGAAGGGGGGGAGGAAGAGGAAGAGAAGGAGGGGGGTGAGGAGGAGGAGGAGGAGGACCAGCGTACACCAAAGAGGCGCCAATGATGTTGCAATACGACCTCCCTCCAGTTCCCTCTTCATACGCCCTTCGAGAATTGATGTCCATTGCGAAGAATGGCCCATTAGAAGACATCCGCCTGAAAACAATCCGATCGTGCCGAAACAGAACTGCTGGGACTTCAGCGCCGGGGATCAACGTGATTCTTGCGCCGTGACCATCCAGAAACGCGCCACAATGCCCCTCCTCTGATTCGGACACAACAAATCAACGTGACTGTTAGGTCCTGACAACCGTCACTGGTGCCAGAACACAGATTCTGGGACTTCGGCCGCACGGGTCTTTAAAACTAATGTGCGCGGCGCTAAGGCGAGACTCACTCTCTAAAACCACCCGCCCTCCATCATCGAAACGGCTGCGAACTGTTAGAACGAACGTGCGCTGCATTAGTGCGATGCCCACATATTAAATTCGGCGCGCCCTCCATCCTGGAAGCGGTTGCAAACTTTAAACAAGGATGTGCGCCGCGCCAGAGCTGGAGCTACATTTTGAATTCGGCACGCCCCCGTCCAGGAAACTGTTGCAAGCTTTGAAGACGAATGCGCGCGGCGCTGAAGCGAGAACTGCATTCTGAAAACTGCCCGCCCTCCATCGGTGGAACTGCTGCACCTTTCCGGCTTCAGGGCCACCAGTGGCGACGACGCCTCAGGAGGCGAGACGCCCGGCTGCTCGCCCCACCGACACGCCTGGGGGGTGCGACACGGAGGAGTCATCTGTAAAGAGAAGGGATAGGGGAGGAGGAGGAGGAGGAGGAGGAGGAGGAGGAGGAGGAGGAGGAGGAGGAGGAGGAGGAGGAGGAGGAGGAGGAGGAGGGGGCGGAGGAGGAGGGAGGAGGAGGAGGAGGAGGAGGAGGAGGAGGAGGAGGAGGAGGAGGAGGAGGAGGAGGGGCGGAGGAGGAGGAGGAGGAGGAGGAGGAGGAGGGGGAGGAGGAACACACACCGCCACCCTCTCCGAAGACGCCAGCTCCCACCACTGCCAGACCATGACTCTATCAGCCTTGTCGCCCACCACCTCCTGGCCTACTCCTTCTTGCCTTCCCCCACCTGAGGCACCTCGACACCCCACCCTTCCTGAGGCACCTCGAGACCCCGCCTGACCCTCCCTACCTCGCAGCCCGCCTCCTTTGTGCACAGCCCTCCGCCTCCCCCGCCTTTCGCCCACGAGCCACCCCACCTCACCCCCACGCCGCGCCACGCAGGACCCGCAGACAGGGAAGGCAGACGGGCTTCACAGCCGAGTGGCTGCACTGCGAGGGGCCAGCTTCGGCACAGCGTGGCCGCGCCACTACTGGAGAGCCGCGCGGGGGGAACCCTCACTCTTCCCTCGGGGGGTTGGGGCCCCGCTCGGGCCACCCCTAGGGGGCCACATGCGAACCCTACCCCTGCCCCCCACGATTTCTGAGGGGGGGGGGTTCAACTTCGTGGGGGGCAGGGGTAGGGGTAGGGGAGCCAAGTGAACCCCACCCTCCCCCCCAGAAATCGTAGAGGGCAGGGGTAGGGTTCGCATGTGGCCCCCTAACCCCGTCCACCTACCCGCGCAGCTCACCCGAGCGGCGAACCGAAGCGCGCCTTGCGTGAGATGGCACAGCGACCTCACGCGGTGTGGCCTCCGCCGGCCGCCCGCGCGGCACGGGCGCCTGCGCGCCATCTCGGGCAGGCAGCTCACGCGCGCATGTTTGCGCAGTCGAGCCTGTTTTGGTGCGTCGCTCGCCTGCCTCTTCGCTTCCCCCTCCGCCCCGCAGCTGCGCCACAGCTGCCCCTGCCTGCCACCGCGGCGCCCGCTTCGCCCTGCCTTGCCCGCCGAGGCACCCGCACAGCCCACTCCGCTGCGCCGCAGCGTCGCGCACTCCACACGCCAGGACCTCCACCTCCCTCCTCCGCCTGACCTCTGGTGGGATTGGGGGGCGTGGGCCCCACTCCAGGAAGAGGCGAGCCGAGGTGGGTCTCCGCTCCCCCCCCTCAGGGAGCCGGGGGCCCACGCTCGGGCCAACTCCCCGCGCGAGCGCCAGCGCTGGCCGCCACAGACAGACAGCCGCCCTCGCCCTTCTCCCTCTCTCTCGGGGACCTTCTGATCCGGGTCAATCCAGACCCAGGTCAATCAGGCCTTGCAGGATCCTGCACCCAAGCCCAGGTCAGTGCGACCGTGGCCCTGCAGGATCCTGCAAGCTCCGGCGCTCTGGCCGACCCCCATTTGCATTGACCCCCGTCTCGTGACGTGGGCCCCGACGCACCCTCGCGTTGTGCCCGCCGGCACGGTTCCTTTGTTTCTCCTTGCCTCCTTGGCTTTTGCTGCCTGCCCCCCCGCGGCCGACGGGTGGGGCGGGGACGAGGGCTTTTGGTGCGCGGCTTTTTGGGGGGCGCGGGGAGCCCAAACCTGGGCGCGCAAGCCGCTGCCACCGCTTCGCTTTCAGCCATCCGGGGGCCCATCTGTGCCCGCACCGAAGGCCACTCCAGCGAAAGGCCACTCTTACGTCTAGTCGAGTCTAGTGGGCCCCGACGCGCCCTCGCGTTGTGCCCGCCGGCACGGCTCCTTCGCTTCTCCTCGCCTCCTCGGCTGCGAATTCTGCCTGCCTCCCCCGGGGCGCCGACGGCTGGGGCGGGGTCGAGGGCCGCAGCCCCGCGGTGGGCACTCGAGGGCCGCAGCTCGAAGCTCGAGGGACGAGGGGGAGGAGGAGGAGGAGGAGGAGGAGGAGGAGGAGGAGGAGGAGGAGGAGGAGGAGGAGGAGGAGAAGGAGGCCCGAGGAGGAGGAGGAGGAGGAGGAGGAGGAGGGCGAGGCCCGAGGAGGAGATGGAGGAGAAGTAGGATGAGAAGGAGGTGGAGGAGGAGGACGAGGAGGAGGAGGAGGCCTGAGGAGGCGGACGAGAAGGAGGTGGAGGAGGAGGCCTGAGGAGGAGGCCTGAGGAGGAGGAGGAGGAGGAGGAGGAGGAGGAGGAGGAGGAGGAGGTGGAGGACGAGGAGGAGGAGGACGAGGAGGAGGAAGAAGAGGAGGACGAAGAGGAGAGACTCCCGCTGACCCTGCTGCTCCAGCTCTTTCACCCTCCCCCCTCCTGCCTCTCCCCAGCAGGCCTCTGGAGGCTGCCGCGAAGCGGGCCAAAAACGCCCCAGACCTTTGTCGTACCCAGACTCGCTATCAAAGGCTCCCGCCACTCAGACCTGCCCGTCGCCGTCGCCCGCGACGCCCCGTCGCCGCTGGTCGTCGCCGCCAGCGTCGGCGGTCGTCGCCGTCGCCGTCGCCGTCGACGGCCGTCGGCGCCGCCGCTGTCTCCTGTCGTCGTTGCCGCCGCTGGCGCTGGCCGCCGCCGCCACAGTCGGCGGAATCGCCGCCGCCGTCGGACCCCGGTCGGCCCCGTCCCGGCGCAATCTGGCGCCAGCGGGCATCATCGCCGCCTGGTTGTTGCGGGTGGCGCCGCGGGAGCAAGTCTCCATCGCCGAGTCTATCTCGGTCGGCGGGGCAAAGGGGAAGGAAGAGAAAAGAGGAAAAAGAGGGGGAGAAGGGAGAGCTGAGGAGAAGGGGGGAGAGGGGAGGAGGAGGGAGGAGAGGGAAGGAGGGAGGAAAGGGGAAGAGGAAGGAGGAGGGGGAGACAGAAACCTCTTCCTCCTCCGCCTCATTCCTCCTCCTCCTCCTCCTCATCCTCCTCCTCCTTGTCCTTCTCCTCCACCTCCCTCGTTTTACGTGTTCCTCCTCGCCCTGCCCCCGTCTCTTCGTCCTTCTCCTTCAGCCTTCTTGCTCTTCCTCCTTCTCTTTTTCCTTCTCCACGCTGATATCTGAACTGTCACTGCAGGCGCCTTCGCCGGGGCCAAGGGATGTGTTGAAAGAAAAATGGTACAACTACTCATCCAAGTGTTTCCCAACGTGGTGCCCAAACTGTGTGTTTCTACCCGTATGCGTTGTGCAATCAAGGTGGCGCATATCTACGTGGTGCAAGATATGTGGTGCATATCTAGGTGCAAAATGCGAGCACATGTTGTGCAATATACGGTGTGGAAAATGTGTTGTGTCGAATATGTTGTGTAATGCTTGCGGTACAAAACTATATGGTGCAGTCTATGTGGTGCAACATATGATGCAGCATGTTGTTGTGCAAGCTGTGTTCCAAATTATGTGGTGCAATATATGTGGTGCGCAAGCTGTGCGGTGCAACCGACGTAGTGCAGGCTAGGTGGCGCAGTCTATGTGGTGCACTCTACGTGGTGCAGTGTAAGCGGTGCAGTCGACGTGGTGCAACCCATGTGGTGAAATATGCCTTGTGCAATCTACGTTGTGCTATCTGTGTGGTGCAACGCACGCAGTGCAATCCGTGTGGTGCAATATACGCGGCGCAATATATGCGGTACAATACATGTGGTGCAAATCTACGTGGTGCAATTCACGGCTGTTCGCAGTCCAGCGTCAACTCCACTCCTCGCGCAATCTTCCCAGACACCCACCCGCAACTTGGCTTGCTAAGCCCATGTGGCGGCGATTGCGATGACTGCTTTTCGCTGGCTGGCGAATCAGTGCGGCCGCGCTAGCGCGCGCATGCTCGCGAGCAGCCAGCTAGTCTGGCGCGACCGACGCGGCGATGATGGCGGTGACCGCTGGGGAATTCCCAGCGCGTCTCGCACGCCGCGCCCACGCGCGGGCATTTCATTGCGAGTTGGTGGCTCGGGCGGGCGCGGTATCATGGCGATGTCGACGGCGGCAGGCGCGATGATGATAGTAGTGATGCTGGAAAAGACGATGATAATGACGACGGCAAGGCCAATGACGGCGCCGATGCTGATCACGCCTATGACGAGGATGGTGTCCACGTGTCGGTGATGAAGGCTGCGGCAGGATGTCGACATGCGCGCGCGGCCGACGGGCGCGAGTGGCCCGCATGGATTATTTGACAGGGGTCGTGCCCCCCCAGCACGCGCGCAAGGGCGTTCGAATGCTTTCGACATTGTTAACGTTTTCTGATTCGGCGTTTCGACATTGGGCAGAACGGGGGGGAGGGGGGGGTCTAGCTCGGGACCTCTGCTTAGTGCGACTGTTTGGAACAGGGCGTCTGTCAAGGGGGAGACTCCACCTGCTCGAAACAGGCGCCAAAATCAGCCAAGATCTACTCCATGATGGGGGGGGAGGGGAGGGTGCGAGGGCTCGCGCCGATCGGCAAAACGAGGAATAAAACAACGATCACATGCGCGGGCGAAAGGCCCGTTTGGCTGCATGCTGTGAACATGTTGGAAACCTATGGTCAAATAATCGCGAAGCGCACGCGCATACATGTTTTGTTGTTGAGAACCCCAATTGCAAACAACAAATGTGGCTTACATGTGTTTCCGGACGCTCGATCTTGAAATCCTTGCGAAACCTTGGATTGTTGGTGCTTCTGGCATGCGCGCGCGACGACGCGCGCGGGTGTACTTCGTCCCGTTGTTTGCAAAAGATAATTGGACACTATTGGTTGTTGATCAACCTATGTTCGCGCACAGTGTGATTTGCAACGGACGACGTGGGGACGACCGGCTTAGCTGGAGTGGTACGAACTCGTGCTCAGAATGAGCGACGGGGCAAAAAACGCATGTAGATTGCACACCCCCAGGGGAAGCGGATAACCCCTGTCTCGGGTGGGTGGTCGATCCTTTACGCTGTGCCATTTATGCGCGGCGACGACGGGCCCGCGACGCCAACGACGGGCCGGCGACGGCGGCAAGATAGCCGCCGGAACGACACACTGGCCCAGACGACGGGCGCCGACGAGACGGCGACAGCGACTGCATAGCCGTTAGGCCGGCACACCGGCCCAGACGAGACGGCGACGGGGCGGCGACGGCGGCTACATAGCCGCCAGACCGGCGCACCGGCCCAGACGACGGGCGGCGACGAGGCGGCGACGGGGCGACGACGGCGGCACACTCCTCATACGATTCGCGGCTCCCTGTGGAGCCGCGAATCTCGTGGGGAGTGTGCCGAAAAGGCCCGCGGCCTCCATGCGGACCCTGCCGCTGGGGGCCATTGGTGGAGCTCCCTGTAGGGCCGCGATATCGTGTGGGGAGTCGGCAAAAATGGCCCGAGGCCGCCATGCGAGCCCTGCCACTGGAGCCTTCGGTGGAGCTCCATATGGGCCGCGAAGCGTGTGAGGGGTGTACCCGCCATAGGGACCCTGCCCGCGGAGCAGTCGGTGGAGCTCCCTACAGAGCCGCGAAGCGAGTGAGGTGTGCCGACGTGACCCGAGGCCACCATGCGGACCCTGCCACTAGGGCATCTGGAGCTCCATACGGGGCCGCGAAACGTGTGAGGAGTTTGCCGAAATGGCCGAGGCCGCCGTACGGACCCTGCCACTGGAACCTTCGGTGGAGCTCCCTATGGGGCCACGAACCGTGTGAGGGCTATGCCGAGATGGCCCGAGGCCGCCATGCGGACCCTGCCACTATTGGGGCCGCGAATCGTGTGGGGAGTGTGCCGAAATGGCCCGCGGCCTCCATGCGGACCCTGCCACTGGGGGCCTTCAATGGAGCTCCCGATGGGACCACGAACCGTGATGATGCTGCTGCTGAAGCTGCTGATGCTGCTGATGCTGCTGCTGCTGCTGCTGGTGATGATGATGATGATGATGATGATGATGATGATGATGATGATGACGATGACGATGACAATGATGATGATGATGATGATGATGATGATGATGATGTTGAAGAGTATGATAAGTATGAGGATGCTGATGACGAGGATGAGGATGAGGATGATGAGGATGATGAGGATGATGAGTATGATGATGATGATGATGATGATGATGATGATGATGGCGATGATGATGATGATGATGATGATGATGATGAAGATGGCGATGATGATAATGACACTGACGATGGCAATGACAATGACTGATCCTGACAACGATACTGATGGTGATGATGATAGTGATACTGCTAATGATGATGCTGCTGTCGATGAGGACGATGATGCTGCTGATGATGATGAGTATAATGGTTATGATGATGATGATGATGATGATGATGATGATGATCACGAATGATGCTGATGATGATGATGATGTTGATGATGATCATGATGATGATGCTGCTGATGATGATGATGATGATGATGATGATGATGATGATGATGACATGCGGAGGGATGGGAGAAGGGAGGAAGAGGGAGGAGGAAAGAGGAGGAGGACGGAATGGAGGAGGAGAGGGGGGAGGGCAGCGGGAGGGAATGACGCGGGCGCTGCCTCGTCAAAACGGGGACCCAACAACACAAGATTGTAGGCGAAAATCGCATAACTTGAACTTTTAACGGTCCGCGCAAATTTCTTGAAACTGCACTGGGCCCCCGAAGCGCGCCAGGGGCGGCGCCGGAGGCGCCACCAAGGGGGCCCAGGCGCCGACCCAGGAAATCCGCGCGGACCGTCGAAAGTGTATGTTCATGCATCCTTAGAGTCGAGATCGAAGCGGATCGGTCGGGCCGAAGTGGGCCGCGGGAAGGGGCGTTTCTTCTGTGCCGCGGCCCAATGGGCAAGGGGCGTTTCTTCTCGGAGGCCCCGCGCGGAACGTGTCCATGCGACCGCGTATCCGCGGGATCGCGCCCCCGAGTCCAGAACGCGAGGGCGTGGATACGGATACGTTCGCCACTCGTGCGGAAGAACCACCCTCCTGATGAGCACCCCCGCAGACGACACGCTGCAGTAAGAGCCCACCTGTGGGGGGGATCGGCAGGGGCGGGGCCGTTCGGTAAGCGCCCTGGGACGATTTGCAGAGGCCAGTGATGGGGGGTCGGGGCAGCTTCGTCCTCCATGGGAAGAAACGCAATCACAGGGGGGGTGAGCACAGGGGCACCTTGCGTACACATTCGTGGCCCCAGGGACCCCCCTTGCCTGCAGCCTTCGATCTCCCCCGTGTGTCGCCGCCGCATCAAGAAGCGTCCGATCCCTGGCAAAGGAGGTGGTCTGGGGCCGGGGGCGAGATCTTCGATGGCCCTCGGGGCAGGCGCTCCACCGCGGGACGCTCCTGGAGAGATCTCTCCCTCCCAGTCGCGGCACCCGCTCGGCAAGTCCGCCTCGCCCCCTCGATCGTCGACGGTCGTGGCGGGGGGGTGGGGGGGGCACTGTGGGCTCTGAGGCTATACAGTCGGGCCGCTGAAAGAAGGGACGCTAAATAAGGAGCGAAGCCCCTTCTTGGCCCTGTAAGCGCCTCCGTGCCCCAGGAGGGCAAGAGGAACAGCACCGGAGGAACCTAAGGAACATCGAGCCCCTTCCGAACCCAAACTGTTCGTGATTTCAGCGTCTTGACTGTAGAGGCCTCCCCGTGGGGCTCGGGGCGCATGGGGTCCGAGGGTCACGCCGCACCGTCGGTGCATCTCGCCGATGCAGCGGCGACGTCGGCGTGGAGAGAAGGTCGGGATCCACATCGAGCGGCGGCGCCGACGCATCGGCGATGCGGCGGCGATCCTCCGACCTCATCTGTCCTGATCCCAGCTCGGAGGCCCAGGGAAGCCGAGGGGCAGACCCTCGTGCAGCGGTACCGCAGGTCGTCGACCTCCTGGGCCGAGGGGGGGGGCGGGACGCGGACGCGCGGAAAGCGCAGCGTGTCTGGACGGAGGACGGCCCGCGAGGGGTGAAGCGGAAGGGCCTCTGCCGGCGCTTGCAGCTCTACTTCGCGGGGAGGGAAGAGAATGTGAGGACGAAGGGCGGGAGTGGCTCGAGCTTAGGGATGCTTGCTCCACGCACAGTGAAGTATGGTATCACCCCCAAGCGCTGCATATCACCACAGCGCGGCTGCGCCACAGCGTGAGAGACCGCGTGGTGGCTAGCGAATCGCCGAGTCCACGAGCCCGTGCGCAGAATGCACAACACATGCAATGAGACGGCGAGGAGGCAAGGCAAACGCAGTCAGAAGGCGACGAAAAAGGATGTGATAGCAGAGGAGGCGAGCGAGCGAGCGTGAGAGCGAGCGAACCACCAATTCGGAGCATCCTTCGGGGCAGTCTAAGCTAGGCGAGTTTGGCCGTGGCCTGCATACATGTTTATATACCCTTTCTAGTCATGTCTATATATATATGTATGTATGTACACTCCCCACCGTGCCTCTGGGTACGGAGTGGGTGTGTCCTCAGGTCCTTGGCTCAATCTTTCTAAGCCCGAATCCTCGATCCTAAAGGTTCTCGAAAAACCGGGCGGCCAAATTGCCAAATCTTCCCGGGTTTGTCTCGGCTTGTCGGGGGCTTCCCGCATCTTTCCGCCTGACTTGTGTTTGGGCCCCAGAGGGCCCCAAAACGGGCAAACAGAGCCCAAAGAGACTCCAACGATGGTCCAAGAGGGCTTCAAACCGCCTACAGATCGCTCGCTCCAAGACGCCCAAGATAGCCCCACGACGGTCAAGACGGTCCACGAGGCCTCCAAGCCGCACGAAGAGGCAAATAATCACTCCAAGAGGCCTCCCAGAAGGGCACCGAAAGGCACAAATCATTGATTCCAGATGCTTGAAGGTTTTAGGCGTTCTCACATTTTCGGCTTCCCGACGCTCAAAGACGGCCCAAGAGGCGCCCAAGATCGCTCCAAGACGGCCCAAGAGGCTTCCAAGAGGGCCCCGAAAGAGCCCAAGAGGGTCCCAAGACGGCCCAAGTGGCGTCCAGGACGGCCCAAGAGGCCCCACTGACGGCTCCAAGAGGGGGCCCAGACCCGAGCGGGCATTTCAAGCCCTCGGCCCCGATGAGCCCCAGGACGCCCGAAGAAGCCACCCAGAGGCCCCCAAGAGCCCCCAAGACCCAAGAGGCCCCCAAGAGGCCCCACGAGGTCCCCAGAGGACCCCAAGAGACTCCCAAAAGGCCACCAAAAATGCCCTTAAGAGGCACCCGAGAGCGCTCCGAAGAGACCCCAAGAAGCATACCTGATGACTCTGACCCACAACCCAAGCACGATGGCGGGACGGGCCGCAGGCCATTAGATGTACTTGTGTCAAGTCCACGGGCGCAACGTGGTCCAAAACAGTCAGACGCTGGTCAGCAAGCGGTGGGATGCTCCGGGAGCGCATTGGGGGCACGAAGGCGAAGCCATTACATATACACACATGAACACATTTATCCTGCTGCGTATGGAAGCATGCCGATGTACTGCGAGGCAGTAGAACTTCGCGTGAGATGTGCACAGGAGGACGAGGAGGAGGAGGAGGTGGAGGAGGAGGAGGAGGAGAAGGAGGAGGAGGAGAAGGAGGAGGAGGAGGAGGAGGAGGCGGATGATGAGGCGGAGGACGAGGAGGAGGAGGAGGAGGAGGATGAGGAGGAGGAGGAGGAATAGGGAGCAGAAGGAGGAGGAGGAGGAGGAGGCGGAGGCGGAGGCGGAGGAGGAGGGAGCAGAAGGAGGAAGAGGAGGAGGAGGAGGAGGAGGACAGGACAACTGAGTGAGCTAGCGTCAGCCTCCGGCAGCAGCGCAGCGCACGGAGAAGCGGGGGCTCTCTTCAGCGGGCGATGGAGCCTCCCGGCGGCTCGGAGGCAGGCTCCGAAAGATGCCCTGTGTTCCTGCCCCCTCTCGCCCCCCCCTCCCCAGCCTTCGAGTAGGGAATCGACTACAGAATTGATTTACCCCAAACTTGATTTTCTCGTCGAGTCATACGTAGGGTGTAGATTTACGAGCACTCTACGCATTTCTCATGGATTCGGCGAACAAACAAATTTTGGGGTGAATCAGTTATGTAGGCGATCCTCTACTCGAAGCCTCGCCCCCACTCTAGAGGAGCAGAACGAGCAGCACGAATCGAGACAGCTTCTCGGAGGTCCGGCGCCGATCCAGGGACTCCGCGCGGACCTCCCCGGCAGACTGTCTCCTCTGAGGCCGTGGCTTTTGTGACTCGGTGCTCGCACTCCTCCGCCTCCAGTGGACCCAGCCGTGGCGACGAGGCGCCTCTCCGGGAGGTCCAGGACGGGTGAACAACGCCAACCTGGGGAGGCCTGCCGCCGCCTGGACTGGCCCTCCTCTGCTCCTCTGCCCCCGGCTGCTCGGCTGCGCCGCCTGGGGCAAACAAAACACGCAAGCATTTTCCGAGGCCGACTGTGGAACCTTCCAAGGCCGCCTGGGCGCCGACATCATGGGGGATTGCCAGACGGAAGCACAAGGACGAAGGCAGGATGAGGACAAGTCCCGCCAGCCCTCTGGGCGTAGGTGGTCTAGGGAAATTCCTCTTCCAACCCCCTTCTTTCCCTTCGGGGAAGGGTTGGTCATTGTTCCCTATGAATAAACACCCCCTCCCCCACCTGGCCAACAGCCAACCCGGAACCATGCGGGCACCCCCCCGCCATCCTTGTCAAAAACCGCACAACATGCACATTGCGGGGCCCACCCTGCCAACACAAAAAAAACGTAGTGCACATTGAAACAAAATCTGGACAGTGCGCTGGCGCCCTGTGAGCACGTTGGATTGTTCTTTTGACAGGGATGGCGGGACACCCATATTGAAGCCGCTGTGCAGGACCACCATGCGTGTCAAAAACAATGCAAGTGCACGTTGCGACAGCATCGTGGGTATTGTGCTGGCCACCCGCGATGACTTTGTATCATTTGTTGACAGGAGCGGCGGTGGTGCCCGCATGATGATGTTTTCTGTGCGCAGGCCCAGAATAATGCTGACGCCCCCCACATCAGCGTCTAGACCATGCGGACGGGGGGGCATCACGTGTACACATATATATATATATATATATATATATATATATATATATATATACATGTCTGTATATATATATATATATACACATATAAGTAAAAAAACAAAAAATGGCACGCCATGCTCATGTGCAACCCGCGGCGGGCGTCGCGCACCTGGCGCCCGCTTTGGTTCCCAGCGGCTGTCCATCCAGTGGCGAACCCTTGCTATGCCAAGACCCGGGTGCCACTTATTATGTGGTGGGGGGGGGCGGGTGGGAATGAACTAGACGGCTTGCGTGCGGAGAGGGTGTCTTGATCATTTCCCCTACCCACTCCCCTGGACCTGGACGGGGGCGGTCGCGAGGCGTCAGAAGGTACAGTTTCGCCCAAGACGGCTCCAAGAGGTCCTCTGAGAGCCCAAGATGACCTTCCAGATGGCTCAAAATGGCCCCAAATGCCCCAAGATAGTTTCCAAAATGCTCCCAGAGGCCCCAAGACCGCCGCAATATGGCTCCAAGTGGCCAAAGAGCGAGTTCCTCAAGGAGGCCCCGCCGAGGCCAACATCCTTCCAAACCTAAGGAACAACACGGTGTTTCGTTTTCTCGCCAGTTCGCTTCCCATGGCTTTCCGAAGCCTCATGATGGCTCCATGATGGTCCCAGAGAGCCCCAACAGAGGCCCGAGAGAGCCTCAAGACAGCCCCAAGAGCGTCGAAGAGCGCCCGCGCCCCAAGAGCGCTCCAAGAAGGGTCCAAGAAGCAATTGTTTGGGTTTCCGAGAGGGGGGCCCTGATTGAGGACCCCCCCTTCTTTGATCGATCTCCTCCAAGATGGCCCTAAGAGCGCCCGTCAAGCTCCCAAGACCGCCCCAGGAGGCGCCCAGACGGCCCTAAGAGGCGCCCAAGAGGCCTCCAAGAGGCTCCCAAGAGACCCTCAAAAAGCCTCAATATGATCACCGAAGCACCCAATACGCTCAAAGACGACATTGGGCCCGCCAAAATGCCCTCAAGACGCATCCGAAGAGACTCTGAGAGGCAACTCGCCTGGGCATCGTTTCTGGATGGGCTGGTGGGGATATTATTTTTCCGTCACGGCCGCAGGCGAGGACCCCCACAGCGTCAGCAGAGTTGGCTCGGGCCACGAGCAACCTAGTTGCCGGCGCGCGCGCCAAACAGGGCAAGACCTACAACCGGAAGAAGCAGCCGCGCCGGGGCTGAGCTCTGCCGAGGGTGAGGACTGCCAGCTGCGGAGGCTGCCAGGATGCTGCAACGTGCGAGTATCATGGGAGCTGAATCACCTGGCGCGCGAAGCAGACCTTGTCGCCACCGGGCGCCAGAGGACATGGCAGCAGGCCGACAGGTGACACGCCAGGCCGCTCAAGAAGGTTGAACCACACCTGGATGAACCAGCGGGCCAAATCCCATGTCGAGCTGACAACCGATATTATTTTTCCGTCGCGGCCGCAGGCGAGGGCCCCCACAGCGTCAGCAGAGTTGGCTCGGGCTACGAGCAACCTAGTTGCCGGCGCGCGCGCCGAGCAGGGCAAGACCTACCACCGGAAGAAGCAGCCGCGCCGGGGCTGAGCTCTGCCGAGGGTGAGGACTGCCAGCTGCGGAGGCTGCCAGGATGCTGCAACGTGCGAGTATCATGGGAGCTGAATCACCTGGCACGCGAAGTAGACCTTGTCGCCACCGGGCGCCAGAGGACATGGCAGCAGGCCGACAGGTGACACGCCAGGCCGCTCAAGAAGGCTGAACCACTCCTGAATGAACCGGCGGGCCAGTACCCCATGTGGCCAGCTGACAACTAGAAACCAGGGACTGGTGGGATACGCGAAGCGTCAAGAATTCAGATGAGGATGAATCGAGACTCTCTGACCCTGAGATCCTGGCGTCTCGAATTTTTCGAGCCGTGCGTTATCGCTCGGTTTCGGGCCCTTGGGCCCTCACAGATCGATCCGCCTCGACAAATGGCGTAGAAAGATGGGGTCCAGGGCTCTGGTCGTGATTTTTTTCGCGATGTCTAATTTTTTTCGCGCCGTCGCCCATATTGGGCGCCGTGGTCGTTTCAGAGCGCTCTGGGAGGCTCTGCGCGCAGTAGTCACACTACCCTCGGAAGGGGGGGCATCTCTTGATTGGGAAGAACCTGCGTAAACGTAAGCTTTCGCAGGTCTGCGCGAATTTCTCACGGCGCTGGATCCCCCTCCCTGGCGTGCGGAGCGCGCCAGGGACTGTACCGGAGCAGAGGGTCCCAGCGCTGATCCAAGAGATCCGCGGACTCGTGAACATTACATGTATGCAAATTGTTCTTTTCGAATCCTGGCTGGGCCGGAGCAGCTGGACACCAACGGTGCGCTGCCATGCTGGGACCCAGAAAATTCTGGCGGATTCATATTGCTCGATCCGTTGGCCCATTTGGCTCCTGGTTTCTCGGTCCCTTCCCTGGGACCTCCTCTCCTGGGCTGTTTCCTGGTGGCCTCGCGGCCAAGGAGATGGCCCCCCGCTGCCAAAAGTTAGGAGACACGCCAGAACCGAAGCAGTCAACACGCCAGAAGCATGGGGGCCGCATGTGCTCTTAACTCTAGGGGGCAAACAAACCTACCTCGCTTTTGACCAAAACAAAACAACGGGGTAGGTAATTCACGCTCTGAAGCTCGTTGAGGCCAGGACTGACCAATGGACCCAGTCACCCATGGGACCAACGAGCGGCCACCGTGCAGGTCCTTGCGGAACGCCGCCAGGGACGTCTTGACAGTGCCTTCCTCGGCGGCCGCGGCAAGAGGAGGAGCATGGCGCGGGTGGGCCAGTAGGGGTCCCTGGGGGGCGGGGGCGAGCGCCAATCTATTACACCCGCTTCTACTTCAGGAGACCGTCCACTCTCACCTCAATGACGCCTGCGTCTTGCCCAGGAATGTCCACGAGGAGGGCTTCCGAGTGGCCCGGCCGCCCGCACCTCCCCCCCTCCACGAACTGGTTGACCTCATGATGTGCGTCGCTTCGTGGCTTCCTCCGTCGCACCGCCGTCCACCCGTTGCAACACCCCGCGCCCATTTGAACGTCCAAGCTTTGAGCCGAACGTCCAAACTTTGACCTCATGATGTGCGTCGCTTCGTGGCCTCGTCCGTCGCACCGCCGTCCCCCTGTTGCAGCACCCCGCGCCCATTTGAACGTCCGAACGTTGAAGCCGTGGTGCCGTCCTCCCCTCCGCCCCGCTCTCTGACTGCCTTTTTCGGAAGGATCGACTTGCTGACCCGCCCGTCCTGCCACTCTCCCAGGCCATCGACCTTCCGCTCCGGAGGCAGCGCCACGGGAAACCAACACCGATCCAAGAAATCTGCGCGGACCTCCGAGAATTCATTTCCGCGTATCTCAACCTCCGCCCACACGCGTTTGGGGGGGGCGGGGCCACTACCGGGGATCCGTGGGCGTTTGGGGATCGATGCAGACCCCCTCTGAACCCAGCCCCCGTTTACGTTGCCCCTGACACGTCCTCGCCTGTCTGCCCGCGCCCGTATCATCCCGAAAACAAAACCGACACCAACCACTTCGGACTGTTCGCGAACCACTTCGGACCGATTGCCACCACTGGAAGCGGACTGCTCGCAACGTGTAAGGTTCCCATTATAATAATACGCGACGAACGACGGATTACAACCAGGGAAGCCTGCTTCAGTTTCCCAGCGCTTGGAGGACTCCTGAAGGACTCATGAGGATTCCTGAAGGAAGCTTGCGGGTCCTGGAGGACTTCCAGCGATTCCTGAAACATTCCTGGGAATCCCGGAGAATTCTTGGGGATTGCGGGAGGATTCTTCAGGATTCCTGACGGGTTCTTGAGGATTCCTGAAGTATTCCTGAAGGCTTCTGGAGGACCCCTGAAACATCCGCGAGCATTCCTGAAGGATTCTTGCAGATTCCTGACAGATTCTTCAGGATGCCTGCGGCATTCGTGAAGATTACATAAGGTTTCGTGAAGATTCTGGAAGGATTCCTGAGGGCATCTGAAATATGCTCGAAGCTTCCTCAAACATGTTTTGAACACTCCTAGACAATTCGTGGGGTTTCCTGAAGACGCTTGCGGGTTCCTGAACGTTGTTGGGGGATTCTGAATGATTCCCGGAAGCAGTATTGAGAGAATGCTAAGCGGATTATTGAGGATCCCTGTATCATGAAGGATTCCTGACGGATTCCCGCCAGAGTCCTGAAGGTTTTTTGGACGATTTCCTAGAAAGGATTCCACACGGATGCCGTCGGATTCCTGAAATGATACTGACGGACTCTGGAGGAATTCTTTTGGGACTCTGGAACTGCTGAAGGACTCTTGCGGATTCACGAGGAACCCTGGAGAGATTCCTGAAGGACTCTTGCGGATTCGTGAAGACCCCAAGGTACTCTTGCGGATGCCTGTGAGTGCTTGACGAATTCTTAAACTTTCCTGAAGGGTTCTTGAGGATTCCTGAAGGTTTGTGGGGGGTCCCCGAAAGATCCTCGAGAATTCCTGAAGGATTCTTGCAGATTCCTGACAGTTTCAGGATGCCTGCAGGATTGAAGATTACTACATAAAGGTTCGTGAAGATTCCGGAAGGATTCTTGAAGGTTCTGAAAGATTCTTGCTGGTTCCTGGAGAATGTTTGAACATTCCTAGGCAAGTCGCGAGCATTCCTGAAGAATTCCTGCGGGTGACTGAACTTTTTGGGGGGATTCTGAATGATTCCGGGGGAACTCTGTAAGGAATTCGGGAACGGTTCTTAAGGATTCCTGAGGGACTCCTTGCGGATTCGTGAGGATCCCAAACAGATTCCTGAGGAACTCTTGCGGTGCCTAAGAAGTCCTGAAGGGTTCGTGAGGATCCCAAACAGATTCTTGAAATATTCCTAAAGGTCTCTGACGGATCCCCGAAAGAGCCTTGAGCATTCCTTGAAGATTCTTGAAAAATTCTGACGGATTCTTAGGGGCTGTTGCGGAGTACTGAAGGATTCTTGGGGATTCCGGAGGGATACCTAACGGATGCGCGAGGGACTCTTCACGGATTCCGCAAGGCTTCCTGAGGGACTCTGGACGGATTCTCGAGGGATTCTTGCGGATGCCTGTGGATTCCTGCAAGATTCCTGCGGGTTCTGGGGGATTCTTGAGGGGCTCTTGCGTTCGTCATTCCTCATGCGTTGTCCGTCGTGGTCGCGCTGTCAGTCGTCAGTCGTCCGTCGTCAGTGGTCCATTGTCGTCGTGCTCTCTCTCTCTCTCGCGCGCGCCGCCGCCAGTGGGGAATGGGAGGATCGGAAATTCAAGGAGGAGGACGCAAGAGGAGTAAGAGGACAATTTGGAAGATCAGGAAGAGAGGGGGTGAGGACAACATGATGATGATGATGATGATGATGATGGTGATGGTGATGGTGATGGTGATGGTGATGGTGATGGTGATGGTGATGGTGATGGTGATGGTGATGGTGATGTTGTTGAAGATGATGCTGCTGATGATGATAATGACGCTGCTGCTGCTGCCACTGTTGTTCATAACGGTGATGCGACTGATGCTGATGCTGATGCCTCTGATGCTGATGAAAATAGTGGTGCTTGTGCGAAGGACGGCGCTGATGACGGTGGGGATAAGGAGGGCGGAGCGGGGCATGAGGGGAGGAGGAGGGGGACGATTATCAAGGAGGAGGAAGAGAAGGTTGGAGGGCATTGGAGTAACACATAAGGAGGATGAGAAGCAGAGGGTGGATAGAGCATGAGGATGAGACTGATGATGATGGTATTCATGACGGTGATGATGACGATGATGACGATGATGATGCTGCTACCGATGATGCTGATGATGCTGAGGATGATGACAATGATGTTAATGAGAATGATCATGATAATGATGCTGCTGCTGCTGCTGATGATGATGATGATGATGATGATGATGATGATGATGATGATGATGGCGAGCGGTCGGCGATCGGACGGATCGCAACAACTTGTTCGGATGTCAATGGGGAAGCTTAAGGGAGCTCGCTGTAACTAGAAGCACTCTTATGATGTCTCCCTTAATCGAAACCTTCTTGAAGCGCCCCAAGAACGCCGCAACCACTTTTAACATATAACAGCTGGTTGCGATCGATCCGAAGAAGTCGACGATCGGTCCGAAGTGGCTGCGATCGGTCGTGCTCGCGTATGATGATTGGGTCTCGGATATCCGCCTACCACCCTTGGGCCCCCTTCGCGCCGTTGACACAGCCCTGACCCCCCCCCCTTGCTCAGGACATTGTGGAACAGGACTTCGAACGATCCCCATGCAGAGAGCGAAGAGCGCATGAGGCTTCGACCCGCGGATGCAATTCTCTCGGGCCCGCCAGGTGCAGTGGCTCACCGAGAGGTTCCCGTTCAGGGGGCCACGGTCCTTCCCCGAGGGCCCCCGGCGGTCTCCAGAGGCCCCTCGGGGCCCGTGGAGGCCTCCGAGAAGCCCAGGAGAGGCCCCGGGCACGGCTGCGCCGCCAGGATCTGTCCGGATCCGCTGCCGCGTGGCCGCGTCCTGGGCAATCGACCCAGACATCGGGCGTCGCGAAAAAATCGAGACAGAGGTTTTCGTAGCTTTTGGCCTTTCGGGGCCCTCGCCGGGCCTCGGGACCGTCAAAAAACAATTCGGGATGAAAAACCGGTCCCAGGGAAGTGGTCGGGAGGTCGGGGGCCCGCGTCTCGAAAAAATCGAGACGTCGGATGTCTGGGGAGGAGCGCGGTAGATGTGCGCATCTGCCCCGCACGTGCGGGCAAAGGTCCAGATCCGCCGCTCCTCGAGATCCCGGGCGCCCCACGACTCCACGGCGGTGGGCGTGGTCAAATCCGCCGACCCTGTCGGCGTGTGGCATGGGGTGTTCTTCTCGTCCGTGCCTCCTTCCCTTTCCCACCTTCTCCGTCTCATTCTCGTTCGTCTCCCCCTCCTCCTCCTCCTCCTCCTCTCCTCCTCCTCCTCCTCCTCCTCCTCCTCCTCCTCCTCCTCCTCCTCCTTCTTCTTCTTCTTCTTCTTCTTCGTCCTCCTCCTCCTCCTCCTCCTCCTCCTCCTCTTCCTCCTCACACACTTCCTCCACCTACCCTGTCACGTTGTCCTTTAGCTCCTTCCTGTCATCACACATCCCGTCGCCATCGACGGCCAAAACCTTCAGGGTCGGCGGCACCGGCCGTAAGGCCTTCACAATATTCTAGTGGTGGAACGTCAATCAGTCTCGACCCTCGAACCTCGATCGTCCCCCTTCTCCTTGTTCCCCAGCTTCCGACGATGAGCTTCTGTCTTGGCGAGGATTGTGTCGTGTTTAGATTTGCTCCGGATATAATCCATGATTGCCAAGAGTATCTAGCGGCCCTCGTTTTCGCAGCTCGCGCGGAAAGTTTGGAAACATTGGGAACCTGGGGGCCTGAGAAGTCTTGGAGCGTACCATTATCAAGCTCGCTGTTGCTCCTCTCCTGGCGCCATGAAGCATTTTGCCGAGAGCCTCTGGTGAGGCTCGTTCTTGTAGTCATGCTGCTGAGGCACATTCGGGTCGCCAGGAACGAGTGCGAGACGCAGCCAGGCAACAGGCACCAGCGACGAAGAGACATTCAAATATCCCCATTCACATGACCTTGGCTCCTTCGAGGAGGGGGGGGCGGCAGTATCCACGTTCGAGGGTTTACTATCCGCTCCCAAGGTCCGTCGAACATGGATCCAGGACCTTTTTGGTTGACCCGCAAGGGGGTCCAGCTGAAAGGGTGTGGTGCAATGGATTTGGGGTAATTGTGTCGCACATGTATTGCGCCAGAGAACTTACTGCATTGTGCTGGAACTCATGCACTGCACCCGAAAATCCAGCACTATGCGCACCGAATTGTATTGCACGCCCCACGCTTGTTGCAACCCCACAAACCTATTGCACCAAGTCTGTTGCACCACCCCCATTCCGCTGGACCCCCTTTTTCCGAGGCGGGGATGAATCCATAACCACCGCCTGGGGGACCGATCTACGCGGACCTCCACAGGCGGTGGATATGGACATGTAGTCGGGCCCCCAGCGGCCAGAATACATCCACATCCGCCGCCCCAGGACGTCGGTTCCCAGGCGGAGGGGGAGGAGGAGGAGGAGGAGGAGGAGGAGGAGGAGGAGGAGGCGGAGGAGGAGGCGGAGGAGGAGGCGGAGGCGGAGGAGGAGGAGGAGAAGGAGGAGGAGGAGGAGGAGGAGGAGGACATCCACGCCTTGCACTTCTGGATCCACCAGAACCTTTGGGGCCGCGAGGGGGGAGGGGGGCATTAGGGGGGGTTGAGGGGAAGGGGTGTGAGCCTCATGCCACCTCCCCTCATCCCCCTTCCTCCCTTTCCCCCTTCCCCTCAGACGGAGAAGTTGGGACGGGGGGGTAGTCAACGGGGACGAATGAGGTGACGGGGGAGGAGGCGGAGGGAGGGAGACGGGCAGCCGGGAAGGCAGGAGAGCCCCGAATCGAATCGGTAAGTCGGATCGGCGATCGGCATGAAACGAATCGGCGGAAATCGGCAGCCGAGTCGGGAAACATCGAATCGGCAGAAATCGGCGGGCTAGTATGCGTCCAATAAGAAGTCGGAACACACATCGGAATCCCCAGTCGAATCGGATCGGAATCGGAAGCCATCGAAGTCGAATCGAATCGAACAGGAGGAATCGAAACGAGCCCTGGGAGGGAGGGCAGACTAAGGGAGAGGACGAGGAAGAGGAGGACTAGCCAGGAGGGTGAGACGGTGGAAGGGAAGGAGAGTGGGGGGATGGGAGGCAGAAAAAAGTTCACGTTCGCCTGGCCCCTTTCTTCGTCACGCCTATATCCCCCCTACCTCTTCCAACCTCCACCTTCTCCTGCTGCTGCTGCTGCTGCTCCTCCTCCTCCTCCTCCTCCTCCTCCTACTCATCCTCAGGTTCTCTTCCTTTCCTCTCCCCCCGCTGCCCCACTCACTCCATTACCAACTTTACACGTGTGGGTCCAGCAGTCCTGTTCCATTCTGAGCATATCCCACCTGGCCATCTCGGCCCTGAATGCTGTAAGCGTCTCGTTCTGCAGCTCCACCAGGGACCTGAGGACAACGAGCAGCAGCATTAGAGGGGAGGAGGGAGGCAAAGGTGGAGAAGGAGAAAGAGAAGAAGATGGAGCGGGCGGGGAGGGAGCGGGAGGGGAGGGAGGAGGAGGGGGATGGATGATGATGATGATGATGATGATGATGATGATGACGATGATGATGATGATGATGGTGATGATGATGTTGATGTTGTTGATGATGATGTTGTTGTTGATGATGGTAATGGTGATGGTGATGAT